ATAGAATTTCACATACGAAATGTACAGAAACCAACAAGAATTCCCGATAATTTTCATATTTAGTGCATATTTTTCAACACTAGCTCACACCGTAACCGATAAACTGATCGAATTGAATCGACAGGAGCTCACCTTCAAAAGCAAACTGCCTCTGGCACACCCATCTCGCCAGACGCTCAAGATCCAATGCCTCCTCTGCCTTACCCAGCATAGTAGCCGCGGCCAGACCACAGAAACCATATCTGACCATGCAGAACGTCGATGTGAATTGGAGTTTCACCCGTCTTACGTGAAGTGGCATAATATTATAAAGGCGATATCATCTAGATTACGATATAGGACATATTATAAATATTAGCGTTTTTGTTATATGTAAATTATAAGACGTGTATGATTCCGCGACCGATAACGTAACTGCATCTCGAAATATGTTTTTCACTAGTGTTTTCCATATCACGGGTGAAAGTAAATAATGATAACAATGTTCAACTATGAAAAAAATTCATATTCCCATATTATGAATATTTCTAAGGTTTAACAGAAATTTCATTGAATGCCGACTACATGCCAATTTTCAATATTCATTCAAAGTAGCGACTTCTTTCACATGAACAAATCGCAGAAAACGTCAGGAAAAATTTTGCCGTCATATTTCCGCGAAATATGCGGAAAAAAAACTAATCTGTTCGATCTCAATAATTCCCCATATCTCACTTTCACAACCCTTACCCTCCATGAGCTTCCAGTCCAGGCTCGCCCGCCAGGCCTCCTTCCCAGGTCTGGCACCTTTTGATATACCCTACCACACCTTGAGAAAATTCCAATACTGTTCGCCTTCCTCAGTTGAACTCGGCAATTTCCTCACTGTGTTCACATTCAAATTCGAAAAGAAATGTAAAGAAAACACTAAGAATTTTCAAAAATTTTCTCAGAATTTTCATATTGTCACCAACACATGTACACAGCGTGTCAATTTAATATGCAAATGTGTATTTTTTCCGAGGTTATTGAGAATCATTGTGAAACTATATCGCATATACAATGTAACAATGGCTATGAACATGTCTTGTGATGAGAGTACCCGTTTGGAACTGTGATGATAGCGACCACTCCGCAGTAGCACACATTTGCATATAAAATTGGCACGCACTGTAGTTGACCATGCGCATATTTTCCCATACTATTTGATCCAACAGCAACGTACCTTCCTCCAGCTCGGGCGTGAGCAACTTCATCATCCTCGCGACTGCTATCGCACAATAGCATCCCCTCATGTCAGTCTCGCCGTTTTCATGCACTCTGAAGCCTCCCGTTGATCGATCCTTCATAGATATCAAAAATCTATACCTAACGTTTACCGCATTCGCCCGAAATTCACAAAATTCCGTAAAATTCCGTAAAATTCGTGAAATTTCTTCAACACAAATTTCATGATTACACGACCAAAGAAGTCCCTCACAATGCCGATCGGTCCTCCATAGATATCAAAAATCTATATCTAACCTTAGCCGCGTTCGCCAAATATTTCCGAAAATTCCTGAAAATTTCGTAAAATTCGTCAAATTTTTGCTCACAAATTGTACCCCCTTACAATGCCGGCCTGTTGACGACTCTATAAGCCTCTTCAGTGCCCACTATGACCAGACTAGCAACCGCTGCATACGTGCATGCGAGATGGGAAAGCTGACCAGGTCCACCAGCAAACCCACCCGTGGGGGTGTGGCAAGCCGACAGGAAAGAACATACACTGAAAGAAAAAGTACTTCAGTGAATCCAAATAACGATAACAATATCAGAATAACCGTTTCACTTTAGTGTATGATAAGCCTTCCTATATCTGAGCTTTGTTGGTGTTTCAGCTTGAAGCACTAATAAGTTAGATTTCAATTTTGTTCAGAGAAAAAATACACTCATTGGAAACTAACGCTCAAATATTAACAAAGGATTGAATATGAATTGATAAATGTTTTATTTCTTTCGAAATAAACGAAGTGTCCAACTTAAGAAGAATAAAAAAAATAAAAAAAATAAAAAAATTAAAAAAAATAAAAAAAAGCAGATCAAAAATCCAAATTCAATTAAAAGTTGATAACTAAAAAATCCACTGATGAAATAAACGACACTTTTCCCAAGAAAAATTACTCTCCTTAGCTTTTATAAAAATGAAGTTTTTTCAAAAAACGATCCTTCGT